TCTCCGTTCCAGATCAATGATGGAAAGAAATGCTCTTTGCAACAACACCACATAATAGCATTTTCCATTTTCATAAGAGCAGAAACTACTCAATTCAAAGCAAGCTTGACATTAAACAAAAACACTCGCACACAGCAACACGCACTTCCTCCAGACTCAAGCCTGCATATTTTTTTCCCCTCAGGACAAATGCAGGGTAATTGTAAAATCTGAGGTGCACATCCAAACGCTCCACTGTTTGCCTACCAATGATGGGGCTGATGTCCTTGCTTGTTAAAGCCTAACTGACTGTGAAATGTGTGTAGTCTGCTAAACGACATCTTGACAGCCTATGATGAAACAATAGTCGCGCAGCAATCAGACAGAGAGTGATTATGCTTTATCCTTTCAGCAGGAGGACCTTCAGGCCCGGGGCAGCAGCAGCATCACTGGGCTCTCTATCAGACCATACACATTATGGCCAGTTTTAATGAGCGCCGACCCGCCTGCAGCTGCTCAACCTCCACCCCTCTAGAATACAGAACCATTTTCTGATGTAAATGACTTTCTACAAAGTCATTTTACTAACATGTGTTACAACTTGAAGTCACAATTTTACCATGCATTTATTTTTATTTCCTGGAAGCACCTGCTTAACAGGTATCATTTATAAGCCTGTATCCAAACCACTAGACTAACTCGTGAGCTAGGAGGTGTCAAAGCACAGTGTAGTTGACTATTGCGATGTTGCTGAGCAAACCAGTAAGAAAAAGAAGCAATAAAAGGTTCAAAATTGCTTAAAAATGACAAAGAACTTGTGTGGAAACCTGTTGGACTCTTGCGGTTATAGAGTAAAAGCACCAGGCCGCAAAATTTCCAAACCTTGCAACTCTTTCGGGAACACTCACTCATTTCCCTTCTTCCATACAACAGCTGCACATACCCAGCCCCTCATCTCCATTCAAATTCCAGCATTAGCAGCAAGGCTATGAATACTCTAGAGTTAAAAGTGTCACAAAGCATTCAGCTCGCCCTCCCATTCGCCCAACACAGTTGCTTTTACAGTGACAGAGATTTAATCATACGCAGACATCCCGCTCTGACCCGTCTGACATGTGCATGTTATAAGCTGCAAACGCCCGCCAGCTACTTTCTATAAACATAATATTACATGATCGTACCTCATCAGGCTGAGCATTTCAACGTTTTTAAAGCATCGTTCCCAATCCTCTGATTTCCATAAAGGCTTAAAGGCCTGAATGGCAGTCATTGTTGCTGTATGGAAAACAAATAAACAAATTAAGGATCAGTTTTGTCACAGAGGTGGGAATTCATCCATAGGGCTCTTATCAAGTGATGTCACAGGAAAGAGGAAAAGGAGGACAAAAAAAACAAAAACACAAAAAAACAAATTTGTTAATGTTTAGCACGTGACAGGAGGAACTCAGAGAGAAGCTGAAACAAAGCACAAACTGTGTTTGCTGAAGTGAAGTGAATGTCAACTTCTGTGAAAAGCCAGACCGCTGCAGGGTGAATGGTCTGCCAACATATCGTATTCAACTGAGCACAGACGGAGGGAGGATGGGGGTGTTTTTTTGGGTGGCATTTGGCTCTGTTTGCCTGTGTGAGTGTGTGTGCCAACGTGTGCAGGAGAGGGGGAGACTTGGGGGGCAAATCTGGGAGAAGTGACAGAGAGTGAAAAGGGGGGTGTTTATTTATCCGGCAGGTGAGCAGAGGGAAAATTCTTATTCACGATTACAGGGAGGGAAAGCTGTCTGAGGTTCATCTGCAACTTGCTGTATATGCATGTGCATGCAGTAGGGCATGCATGGCTGCTTGGAGCTATGAAGAGGGAGGAAAGACGGCCCATACTTGTTAGTGTCAATGAGGAGGAGCGGTGGGGGGGATCCACAGAGCTCAACATCCACGCACATGACCGTATCCGTGTGTATGGTAAAGTTAATATGCATCTTTAAAAAAACAGATAATGATCTTGTGATCCTTAAAAGAATCACCAGGAATTTCCTAAAAACATCATAAGCTATGAGCTCGTGCAAAACTTAAGCAATAGATGTTATGTTAGGTTGCATCCTTTAAAGCGCATGCACTGTTTTTCATTTTAAAGCTCGATGTACTGCAGCAGCCCTAAACCGTACACAAAGTGTGCAGGGGAAAAAACGAGAATTAAGACACAGACAGCTCGCCACTCTTGGAAATCAGCTGGAAAGACGACACGCTCAGCGGAGGGCAACAAGTCCCTGTCTCAGCGTGACTGTCACCGCTTCTTAAATTTGGTTTCACTGCGAACACCGAGGCTGCCTCTCTGCCTGCCGCAGTCACAACTCTCAGTACACTCAGCCTGTGCTTGAAGTTTCCCAATGCAGCCGTCCACACACAGACAGTCACTCACAAAGAGAGGCATAACACTGGATATACCGACCACATATTGAAAAAACAACAACAACGAATAAAAACACAACTTCTACACACAGATGTGAAGATGCACTTACCGGAGCGGAGAAGACAGTCTAAAAAACCCAGCATTCAGCGGCCGCTCTGAATAGAAAAGTGCGCCTGGCTTTTCCCGCTGAGCTCTTAACCTCTGTCCACGCCGTCCACGCGCTGCATGAAGCCGGTGTGAGAGTGATCGGTGTCCGCACACGGAGCGATGCGGCTCGTCCTTCAGCCTGCGCGCATTTCAGGACGCTCACTTCAGTCTGCTCCGCCGTTCCAGCCAGCCAGGACGCTGCTGTGAGGAGGAGGCGGAGGAGGAGTGCCAGAGAGCTGCCCCCGCAGGGCTTCACGGGAAATGTAGTCGGCCATTCCTATGAGTGGCCTTGACCGTCTCCCAGTGGCTTGCGAAGATGTGCAGCAGAGTCACTTCTTCTGCAGGGCACTGAACCCTGTTCATTTAATTCAAATATAAGCTTTAAGAGGGATTATGGGATGTGTAGTCAATTTGGATCCTTTACCTGGCTGCTATGTGGACATTTTTGAGTTTTCAGAAGTAAAGTAACCGGTAACCGTGTCTGAGGTTTATTAAATCTCTCTCACAGTGAAGAAAACCCACAAATTAGGTATCATTTATTTTTTTACGATGCCTAAAACATTATAACTAATTACCATAATTAGTTCAATCCAGACCATTACATGCAATGCACTGAACAGTGTAACAGTTCCAGGCTGTAGTGCAGTACTCTCTCATACTTGTAGCTTTGTACTTTGCACAGTTTGCTGGAAGGAACTCAGCAGGAATCGTTTTTTGTTATTTACTGATTTATGAGTTTTTATGCTTAATTTATATTTAATAGGTTTACAGAGAGGCATTGAAACAGGGAGCACTCACTAATGAGTAAGAGCACTCAGTGTGTTTGATTTCTTTCCATTTTGTCAGCAGTACGATGATTCTGTGTTACAGATACGCCCTTGTGATTCCTCTCAGTGGTGGGGCCCTTTGCCACAATCCTCCACCTTTCCTCAGAAGTGAATTCATCTCTATTACCCATCAGCCATTCATTTGGAGGCTGTTATAGTCACTTCTGATTCATTCTTTCATACTACAGCCTCTTTGGTTTACACTCATACCTAACTTGGGTGTCATTCTTAAGGAGGAAACAACAATTCAAAACAGGGTTTTGGCACCAGAGCATGAATTTCTTTCAACATGTTGCAGAAACAGCAATGATAGAGCCTTGTGGCAAAGAAGAAGACATGGCAGCTCATGTTAAACACCACAGCTTCCCAGGGGGACCATCTCATAAGTTCATATTGTGCTCAGGCTGAGGCCTTCATAGATGAACTCCAACATAAAGACAATACCCTTTTCTTTCTGAGGTCAACATCCCCTGGAGCATTTATTGTTTCTGACCGCCCTCTCCCCAACTTTCTTACAGTAAGCCTCCGACAAATACTTATTGTGTGTGAGTGTGTGCATGGGTGTGCGCGTGTGTGGTGGGAGGTGTATAGGAAATGCTTCGGCCTCTCGGTAGCCTTAATGTTTAAATTTAGAGCCCTCGTGCCTCTGCTGACTGTCACAGGCTGGGTCGGGCTGTCGCTCACAGGAAAGAGACTTGAGGCGTGTTAGAGCTGGGATAAACAGCACACACTCTGGCGTACTGATCTGAGAACAACACATTTGTTCTGCTCAGGCCCTGACACCAGGGGTGTCTATAAATAACCGGCTGCAGCGAGCAGAGGTCAAGAAAGGCCTTGATAAAGTTTAGATGAGGTAATTAGTATGTGCAAGGTTTCTTCTTCTTCTTCTTTTTTAAGTCACAGGAAAACAAACTGTTCAATGAGAGGAATGTATCTGATCCCCAAAAATATTTTTAAGTATCACTCTTGAGAAGTATTAAAGGGGTCACGCCCAAAATGTGCAAAAAAAAAAAAAAAAAGTGTTAGATTGTCTATTTGAACAGCAGCACCTCCTTTATTGAATTATTTCCTCACAGACCCCCTTCTCCAACGTCCTGATGATTGCACGCCTGAAGGTGCCCCAGTCACTTTTCCTCTGAATTTGTCACTTTGATTGGGGATGTTGGTGTTTACATAACAGTCACTTTTTTGTATAAAAGCCGTGTCGCAACTTGTGTTGTTATCAGTGAACTGCTTCCACTGGTGAAGCTATGGGAGTACTACAGCAATATTACACCAATAATTTACTCTGTCAAGTCACAGGAAACGCTGATATTAAACAGACAGTGCCTAACTAAATAGACAATGCATAACTTCACAAGTTAATGCATAATATCCTAGAGGGGAAAACATTTGTTGGTGTGTCCCTGCTTTGCTTATAAATGATCTTATGAATGATCTTTTGATCTGTAGCAGAAGACTGCAAGGATAGGAAAACACCTGCTTTAATAACTATGAAGCTAAAAAAATCATGATCACCTCCCATTCTTTATAAAGTAACAGCTCCATGTCGTGTTGAATAATAATTACCTTTGTATGGACCTGTTAGTGAGGCAGCTACTGGAATCCTTAATCCTGTGGCGCCCTCTCGTGGCCCATGTGAGAAACCCCATTCTGGCGAGGTTAGAGGTCATTAAATCGAAAACATGGCGGCTCCCAGCAAAGCGACCGTGGTATTGAAGGCTGTGAAGAAAATAACCGTTCAGTTTTGTCCGTTCGAGTCCAATGTCCGGTCCACACGGTAAGAAAGGCGCGTTTGACGCTGCTGTTGTGTCGGAGAGCCGTTCAGTGTGCCTGAAAGGCGGGTAACGGTCGTAATTTGACAATAAGGCTGTTGGCGACAGCCAGCAGCCGCCAACCGCAACGTCATTTCATGTTTTATGTAGCGTATAGCTCGTTGATGCTTGTCGGAATAGACTGTGGTTATGCTGGCTTTCATGCTTAGTAAAGACACCCTTAAAACATTCAACATTTGGTTAATGTTAGTTGAAGAAACCCTCCGTAAATTCATAGCAACACTATATGACATGCTGCACGAAGTCTCGTCTAAACTCTTTTAATGGAAGGTTTAAAAGTAAGTTTTGCTTGAAGTAATCTCAGCACTTGCGTTTGTTTTGTTATCTAGATTGCACATGACATTATACGGTCATTATATACACCGGCCACTTTATTATTGGGTAGTGATTTTCCACGTTTCCGTGTGTTTTTATGTTTCTCTGTGTTTATACTGTGCAAATGTCACTGCAGAAATTGAGAAATTCAGAGCATGCAATGTTTTCCCAACCTGCTGTGTGAATATTAGCCTCAGTTTCCTGTTGTTAGCTAACTTGAATCCCAGAGCGGTCTTCTGCTGCCAAAGTCCCACCGACTTCAAGGTTTGACACACTGTGTTCAGACATGCTCTTCTGCATCTGCATGGTGGTAATGAGTGGTTGTTTCATTTACTCTTGACTACCTGTTAGCTTGAAGCAGTGTTACCATTCTATTCTGATCTATGACCTCAAAAAGGCATTTTAACCCAGATGACTGCGGCTGGATATTTTCTCCCAGAGATGGTTGTGCGGGAAATTCCCAGCAGATCAGCAGTTTGTGAAGTACTCAGACCAGCTTGTCTGGCACCAATAACCATGCCATGCTCAAAGTCACTCGGTTGATGCTTGGTTTGAACTTCATCAGGCCGTCTTGACCACTTGTCTACACACCCAGTTTAGATACTTGTGTTAACAAGCATTTGAAGAGGTGTAACTATTAAAGTGGCCTTAGAGTGTACATTACTGCCTTAATCAACGGTTCACAAATATTTTGAGAAAATACACAAAGTGTCAAAGCTAACGGGAAATCTTTATTACTGATGTTTAAACACTATTTTAATGTGTAGATTTCAAGTTTATTTCGTCTAACTTCAAAGCAGCTTGCCGGTTTGGTGTCAACCTTACTTTGAAACTGTAGAGTAACTAGTGATTACTGCTGTAAAATCAGTGCAATGGAGCTAAGTGTGTCATACTCGATGTCCCCACTGTGGAAATACTCACATCTACTACAGCATCTCGAGTTGTGCTAACATACCATACTATAAGAAATGTACTTAGTCACTTTAATGCGTTATAAGGTAAATCTAAAAAAGCTTCTTTTTTTTTTCCTGTCCCACAGGGAGTTTCTGAACTTAGTGGGTTCAGAGAAGGCCAGAGCTACCAACATGAACTGTGAGGTGATACCAGTGGTGAAACATGACAAGTCTGAGCCCGTAGTGGATATCACTTATGGTAAGTATGACGTGAGCACATTAGAATGAGTGGGGGAGGCAGAGTTTGGTCCATGAGTTGTTTTTTTTCTCTAGTTTTATCTTAGTACTCCACCACAGTTGATTTTAAATTAAACAATCAAGATGTCACTCGAGGGGTTTAACAAAATGATTGCATTAACTCTGTAGAAATTACAGGTATTTTTATACACAGTCCACTATTTTCACTTGTTGAAGAGGAATAAAATGTGATTCATGTAGTTTTATAGGTGGGGAGGCCTGCTAACTTGTTATTTCACGACATCTTAAGGAGATCAATCTGGAGACGGTTGTTGAGCTGTCAGTATGAGACTTCATGGGAGTGTTCTCATGGGTGGAGTTATTTTGGATGAGATAGTTGCCGTCGTTCCCTCAGCTGTCTGAAGTGATGTGTAATTTCATAACTGGCTCGTCTAGCACTTGTGAAATTTAGCAATGAAATGATAATAATGCATACAAAAGTAGCTGTCTGACTTTTGTAACCTGCTGCTAAGACAGAATATGTCATTTTATACAGGTGTGTTCATTTTCCGTCAAGAACTTGTATTTGTGCATAAAGTCTTTCTCAATGTGGGGTTAAGGTGGTGTCCAATTCATGCTGTCTCCACCACTCTCTCACAGTTTGAGCCTGGTGGCTCCATCTTATGCATCTTCCCTGTCAGGGAAGATTTTTTTTCATAGAAAAATTTGGCCATTCAGTTTTTTCAGAGATGTCAGCTGATCTCGGTTTGTGGTCAGAAATTGTTGCCTAACGTCAACCTGACCAGCTGAAGTAATCCCTGATCATAACGCCGCCCGCACAGAGTTTTACAGTAGGCATCACTTCATCCATCTGTCTTCTTACCCTGATGCATCCATCACTCTGGAGCACCAAATCATAACTACAATCACCTCCAGGCACAACGATGATAAGGCAACTAAGACGTTCACTTTAACCTTTGACTCAAGACAGTCGTAACCTGTTTTAATGTTCTCTCTTATTGGTTATGTTTTTAAAAAGCCCGATCCAGATATGTTACGGGAGCCAAAGATGATAAAAAAAAATTCTAAAAACTCAAAAATAGGATAAAGTCCTGGAAATGGTGCATATGTGCAGTTCATACACTCAGAAACATATGACCCAGTCTTGGAATTTCATACAATTAGCATCACTCACGCAGTGAGTCAGGCTTTTACAAAGCTGGAGATGTCTGCCACAGGTCAGCAGAGCCGCAGCGTGTCTTACTCGACTTTTGTGCAGAGTGAACTTTTGAACATTTCCTTTCTGTACTCCTTAAGCATGTTGTTCTTATGAGTCATCTCATTGTGTTTTTGTCCTTCTTTTCCGCAGTAGACGGAGAGAAGCTGCTGATGAAGGGAGCAAATTTGACCAGCAGTGAGATGCTGAGTGCTTTTCAATCCCGCTGCGTCGCCAAGGACCCGCAGGCAAAAGTTGGAGAGAAGAAATAATCATGAGCTTGGCAGATGTGTATTTATCTGTGAATATTGTTGAACATGTACAGTAAAACTATTCCATTTCATACACATGGTGTTGACTGGCTTTAATCTAAAATGTTGTGTTGGTTAAATATTTAATAGTCAAATTCTTTTGTGCCCTTTTAACTAAACAGTAAAAAATAAAGAGAACTGTATCGTTTTTGTCATATGGCCAAATAGTTTCTCTCAGCTGGGTTATTTCCCAACAACATTCGCCGGATCAATTAAAATGCTTTAACTGCTAAAAAAAAAAAAAGCTGCTGCGATCAGTACGGGGTCACGGTGTGTCCTTGCATAATGTGTCATTTTCCTGATAAAGGAGACCATTCCAGTGTTTGAGAGAGCGTCATGCAAGCTCCAACCTTTGACACAGCAAAGCTGTAATTTGGCACAGAGTTTTACATCCAGCCCATCTGAAAAGGAGAAAAAAGCCTTTCACCCAGTCACAGATAAGTGAAATCCTGCCCTCTCACATAGTCAACCTCTGTCCCGTTACCATCTGTGACTTAATGTTTTATTAATGGATCATTATTGCATCCACACACTTATTTTTTGGCAGGTTTCCTGAAAAGAACTGTAACATAAATGACTTCAAATGACTTTTCTTTAACTGACAAGCAAAACGATGGTAGGAGACCAAATTTATTGTGACTGTGTGCAACTATGTCGATCTCGTTGCCTTTGAAATTGTTGCTTCGAAGATGAGGACCGGGTCTCCGACCTCGCGGCGTTCCTTGCTGTCTAGTTGTTTCAAGACAGGCTGCCTCCGACCAGGAAACCTATGCAGTTGCCTGGTAATCAGTAAGCAGAGGTGCAGCATGATCAGGGACCAGCTGGTTGCTGCAACTACCTTAAATAGGTCACTGGGTGTGAAAAAACTGCAAAAACCAGTCAGTCACTGATTTTTTCTAATCACATTCAAGCCTGTAGTTAAAATTACACATTACAGTTTTGCCAGTCTTTAACAAGACACAAGGATCCAAAGTGAATTTAACTGAAGTAAAGGTCATCACAATATCAACAGAGCCCCTGTTTGTATTTCCTCAAAATGAAATCAGTCAGCAAACTAATAATAAAATCAATTTGACTTAATGTTCACCTACAAAGGCCTAATAATAATAATTCTATTGTGCTGGAGCCTTTCCTAGCTGTCACAGGGCAAGAAGGATGTGATGGATTTGAACTCAGGACCTTCTTGCGTTGAGAGCACAGTGTTAACCACCATGCCACCGTTATTTGTACCATGATACTGTCATGGTAAAAGTGTTGTTCCAGCAGATCCCAGGAACAACATCTTAGATCTCGGTCCAGAAGAGCGCAGTCCTAGGAACAGCAAAGATACTGCGCGGGACCCTCAAACTCCGAGGCCTCTGGTAGACGACCTGAGCTTGAAGGATACTGCCTGCAGGCGTGAAAGGGGGATTAAGCCTAAAACTAGGAGGGCAATTTTTCACCTGTTAAGAGGAATGGCTTCTTATCAGCAGATCACTACAGAATGACGGCTCATAGCCAAGCTGAAAACAAATATGTCATTTTTGGCCTGTTTGGCCCGCCATATAAAGTGACATCTCTGGAACCAGAGAAACTGTAACAAAGAAAAATATTGTTTATTCTGTATAAAATTACCGTGTTTGAAGATTAATTTTGATAAATACACATGTAGCTTAGAATATAAAACTATTGCCACGACTATGTCAAGGATTAAAATAAATAAATAAGTGGGGGAAAAGGGAAAAACTCACAAGAGGAGGGATTTCAACAATTCGTTATATGACGTTGCAGGCTGTGATTGGCTCCTATCCCGTTGCTGAAAAAAAAGACTGTCCCTTTAAAACGGCCACACTCTGCTCCCACACTGGAAGAGTGCTGAACCCAGAGTCGCTGCACACTTTGTTGTTGAGGATAAAGAGGAAAAAAAATTTCAAGGATTGCAAAATGGTCGAGAAATTTGTTGGAACATGGAAGATGATTTCCAGCGACAATTTTGACGACTACATGAAAGCAATCGGTAAGAACGTCTGTGGTTGGAGCTAAATTTAGGGGGGAAACATCTTAATCTCAATTGTAATTAATTTTATTGTCTCAAGTTTTCACAATAGTTTTTTTTTAACGTTTTAATTAAAAAGCGTCTCTACATCTGACACATTTCCTGACACCTCGCGCTCTGCAGGTGTGGGATTTGCAACCCGGCAGGTGGGCAACCGGACCAAGCCCAATTTAATAGTGACTATGGACGACGAAGGGACTATATGCCTGAAGTCTCAGAGCACCTTCAAAACCACCGAAATCAAGTTCAAACTCAACGAACCTTTTGATGAGACGACCGCAGACGACAGAAAGACCAGGGTTAGAAAGACAGAACAAGCATTTACACAGCCTGACTTTTAGATGATTGATTATTGATTTAATCTGTGCTGGACGTGACCACTTGTCTGTTTTGTGCCCTGCAGACCGTGGTGACTCTGGAGAACGGCAAACTTGTGCAGAAACAGAGCTGGGATGGCAAAGAAACGAATATCGAGAGAGAGATCACAGATGGGAAATTGATAGCGGTGTGACTTTTTTTTTTTTTTTTTTTTTTTGTTAAATCTTCAAACTATCTGTTTAGAAGTTCTGCGTAAAATTATTTTACTTTCCCCTGTTCTATATGTTTTATAGTAGATTTAGTATGTTAATGTGTGTTAAAATGTACGGTTTATACTCAATGATCCTGTTAGGATGATAAGATAAAAGGTATTTGTCTTAAAGTGAGGAGTTTTACAGGAAATAAAAACATCACAACATACCTGAGGAAGATTTATATAATTAAATTTTTTTAATAAATAAATCTGGCAGTGACCTCTTATATGATTGTATGCTCTGCATGATTTTTTTGCCAGAGTTGATGCACATGCAGATTTCTTCTAATCACCTGACGTCTTCTTTCCACACAGAAATGCATCATGGGAGACGTGATCGCAGTGAGGACATACGTAAAGGAGGCATGATGGAGGGAGTTTTTCTCTTCTTTTTCAATTTTCAGCCCACTTGTTGGATGCACTGCTGGATGACAGGCTCAGTTCAATGAGCGCAATACCAAACTAAAGTACCGGCGTACTCTGCTTTTCTTATTCGCTGTGTTGATAAAAATCACTCTTCCGTGCCTGTGTTCTCCAACATGATGCATTTGGTTTCATTTGGACTTGTTGTGGTGATTTGAATAAAAATGAATGAAAAAAACTGTCGTGTGTGCCTCTGAGTTTGTTAAATGTTGGTCAGCAAGTGAGTTCGCCTCGTGCTTTTTGGATAATATCTTGATTTAATTGTGACCTACTTGAAAGCATTCATCCACTGGGCCGTGCTGAGGAATGTCTTAATAATTTTTTTTTTTTTTTTAAAGTGCTCTAATGGGAACATGCCTCCTAATCTGGCAGTCTGACTTTAATGGGATCCCATTCATGGTGATTACAGCAGTTATTCTACATGCAGTGGCTTCTTAAATCTGCGTTGCTTTATGTAGTTCTTTGTTCTTCTTCATTAAGGTCAGAAGACAAAAACAAAGATTTGAACATACCACCCCCACTTAAAATTCAATCAGGAAGCAATCCTGCCTTTCTCATGATGTATAATGTGTGTTGGCAGGGACTCTTTGAGGCATGTGAACTCATTTTTAGAAGTATTGAGAGGTCAGTTGGGAACTAAAGCCCCTTTTCCGTTTTGGGAGGTTGAACATTTCCCATTGCACATGTACTGGCAGCTGTACATGAACATGGAGTACATGGAAAACACAAAACATTACGGGTCTTCCCAACAGGCGCTCCCACCCTTTGGCCACTTGTCAAGTTTTTGTATGTTGGGGAGATTGTTCGAGAGCCGACCGCCACTTTCCCATGACAGGAAAGGGAGACGATAGAACTGATTGGCTCTAATGGTCAAAACAGCTGAACCAGGTGGAACTGCAGCCCAGTGCTCTCGTTCCCTTCAGCCTGGACAATAGAACTGAGAGCAGCCAAGGACGTACAGTGTCTGAACTTCTGGGAGACTGCCAAGAGAAGGGTAGTATCACAGTGGACAGCTAGCAAAGGTCAAGTGGAGTTGTGTTGGTGTGTTAAGAGCTCTTTTTAAACATTGTTTTCCTTTTTTAAAAAGAGGAAAGCATAAATCTACCAGAGCAACTGCAAAACAGCATCCAGCACGAGTCTGAATGCATTGTCTGAGGTTCAAATTTACACTTAACTTGTTTTCAGTACAGAAAAAAAAGAAACTCTTCATCAAACAGCTTACATTGTATTGACATCAGGTTTCCTCTTAAGCCCCTCGGATCACTGTACAAGTCTTTTTGTTTGTGTTTTTGGACATTTGATAGCAAGCAAGTTTGTCAGGAAATTGATGCCTTTTGCTTTTGGGGGGATACTCCCACTGGGTTTAAATCTGGGACTCTCCACCATTTGACCTTAGAACTGAAGAAGCTTCTCGGATGAGAGGTGAAACGTCTTCAAGCAACTTAAAGAAGTCCAGACGCTTTTCTTTCCAAGCTCCTTAGACTACGATGACCTGGATGACTGAGAACCTTCACAAACACGCCACTGAATTAAACCGGTTCTTTCAATTTATGAATTCATTTTTTAAAATGCAAGTTTTCACTGAAACATGTAGGGCTTCAGCTAGCTGCAACGGTTATTGTAAATATAGTAGAAGCACCATAAACAGGATAATATGTGCCTCGTACCTTCAAAACTAGAAGCAACAAAGGCCTAACGGGGAGTTTCAAATGACAAATGATGGATTTTATTTTGTCTTTGTTGAACATCATAAAAGAAGATCTGGGCTAAAAGAAAAAAACATCAGATCTCTGTGGGTTTCCTGGACTGTCTGGCACGGACGGTAATGTGAAGAATGCCAGGAAGCAACTCTCCAGAAGTATAATTACATCTTTTGTCCATTTTGATAAATGAGGGTTTAGTGCAACAAAAATAGCCAACAACACAAATGACGCAACACAGTTAGACAGAAATAAATCCTTCAAAACATTCTTTCTTTTATTGTATTAGTGCGGACTGGTGGCACACTGGAGGAGTGCCACGCACTATTGTTGATTGCATTAAGGTGTGCGGACTCGAGACGGGTCAAGTGAGTGGGCAGGAAGGCTAGAAAAAGTCTACATAGAT